CGGCGAAAACCCGAAGACACCGACGGGCCACCTACAGAACCTCCGCTTGCAATTGTTTGTAGCTGGGTGCTTTCCGCCTGGCATTCCTAGCCAGATTCCATGGTGGATAATGCTTTTAAGAAATTTTCCATCAGCAATCGCTGTATGGCACGGAAGATAACGCACTGTGGGAGGCGACCAGAAACAAACTCTCGTCTTCAGAAGACAGTGGTGCTTCGTCTGATGAATAGGAACAGTTGCGGTTGTGGTTAAAGAGAGCTATGACGATCGGGGTGCGGTGCGCCCAATTCGCAAATAAATGTCGTTCGGGAGTTTTGGGTTGTTTTCCTTTTTTTTTTCTTTTTCGGTAATCTGAACTTGGGGGGTTGACCTATACTCCCACTCGACCTATAGTTCGGTTTATATGGTATACACTTAATTTCCCTATATGCGAACATCTCTGGAATCTTGTTCGTGAAAGCTATTCCTATAGTCCATAAAAAAATTAAGTACAGTTCTGATAAAAAGAAGCAAAGCTCAAAAGTGCCCGTCTGTCGCTTTCCCATACTGTGCAAAGTTGCACAGATGGAACTGCTGATGATAGAAAGCTACCAAATCTAAAGTTTATAAATGTTGATAGTCGAATACAACTTCAGAAGTCCATGGCATTTCCTCCACAAAGGCAATAGTGCACATACACTAATAGCACAAACACTAATAGATTCACACTCCTGACCGATGTCAAGATCCGAATAGCCAGTGAACCCCGCCTCCTCCTTCGAAGAACATTACAGGGTACAGGAGCAGGACTACTACTTTTTAGTCGCAGAGGCGATCAGCTGCCGCACTTCAGTCATCCGGCCGGGGCGTCTCTTTTGTGCCTTGATTGATCCGACCGAAACCAGAGGAGACACAAAAACATCTCCAACGGGCTATCCATGCCTTCGATGGAGACGCTTCAAAACTAGCATGCGAACTACGCAATCAATACCTCTGTGTCCGACGTGACATACAAGGGCCAGTGTACTCGTATGCAGGTTCTAAGAACGCGGAGCTGGATCAGCCGTTCTGGCTTCATGACATGAAGGCGGCCTTGGCTAAAATGAAACAACGAATGGCACCGGGAAGAGACAAAGTAACAGTGAAATTACTTGCCATTCTCCCCGACCAGGCGTACGACACACTCCTCGCGTACATAAACACTATCTGGCTTGGTGGGACACCCCTCCCAATCAAATGGAAGACTGCCCTGGTCACTTTCATTCAAAAAGCCAGCAAAGCCATAAACACGGATAACCTTCTACCCATCTCTCTCACGTCTTTTGCGGGAAAGCTGATGGAGACTATGGTGCGAGATGGCTATCCGAGTTTTTGGAGAACCAACAGAAATTTGCTGACCCCATGCTCGAGTTACGCCCGCACCGGTCCGCACAGGATGTCTTGCTTCATTTAGACAGCGAAATTCTAAATCCCATCGATTACCCCCTCAATGACAAGGCAGTACTCGCCCTCGACTTGAAAGGAACTTTCGACACGTCACACATGACATCATTCTGACGCACCTTTCCCAAACCAACTGTGGACACAACACGTTTCCATAACTTACACAATTTCTCCTTGACCGACAGTCATACATCCGAATACAAAATGAAGAACACGGCCCCTACCAAATAGGCACAAGAGGTACCCTACAGGGCGCGGTCCTCTCACCCCTACTGTTTGATCTGGCTATAATGAACCTACCGGCTCAGCTGGAGAGTGTTAAAGGCATACAACACGCACTTTATGCTGACGACATTGCCATATGGGCTAAACACGGATCGATAGAAGACATAGAAGCCAACCTGCAGCAAACGGCGGAGATCGTAGATACCTAGCCCGCCGCTGCGGCCTTCAATGCTCCTCGACCAAATCGGAATTTGTGCACATTCACTTCTCGGCAAAGTGCACTACCAAAATTGAACTGTCCTTGCAAAGGGGACCCATCCGAGAACACGATGAGATCAGAGTACTGGGTTTGTTTATTCACAAACATCGCCGAGTCGATACAACATTGACAAAACTGCGTAAGGTGGGAGCCAGGTGGGCCGTATGGTCTGCCGGGTTTCCAAAAAGTGCGGGGGGTTACATTGTAGAGACGCCTTGCGACTGGCGCATGCATTCGTAACTAGTAGAGTCCTCTACTCAGCTCTTTACCTCTACCTGCGCAAGTTCGACGAGAATGCCTTTGAGGTGATTCTCGGGAAGATGCACAAGCGTGCTCTTGATCTCTCTATAACCACGCCCAACCGCCCTCTTATGGGCCTGGGGATGGTAAACACTTTTGCAGAGCTCCGGGAGGCACACTAGACCAATCAATACACGAGAATTTCAAAGACTCCGTCGGGTCGCCGCCCATTAGCCCGACTAATCATCCACCTTCTAACAGAGACGGAGGAGCGCGTACACATTCCGGAAATCTGGAGATACGCCCTGCATGTGCACCCTCTTCCGGCCAACATGACACGTGACGACCACAGTGGCAGGCGCCTTGCGCGGGCGGAGGCACTAACTCGCCACCATGGGAACAAACACGGCATATTTTACGTGGACGCCTCTGGCCCTCACCACGGGGGGTGGTACACAGCTGCAGTCGTCCACCAAAACGTCGCGGTGAATGGCCTCACATTCAAAGCACAGGACATAACATATGCGAAGGAAGTCGCCATCGCACTAGCTGCCGCAGACCGGGACTCATGCGTCATCATTACAGACTTGAGAGGGGCCTGCCGAAATATTCAACGCGAGTATGTTTCACACCTGACGTACCGCATCTGACAAAACAGCAATTACATCGGGGCCCCCACGTCCTGAAGGATCATATGGGCTCCAGCTAACATGGGCCTCGAAGGCAATGAAACGGCCGACGCCGCTGCCCGCGCGATCACTCTCCGGGTAACGCCTTCAGACCCCCCTGAAATGGATTTCGAACACAATCCGATCTAAACATTTCAAAAAATTGCTGAATTTTACCGATTCGGCCATTCAATTTATCCTAAACCCTTTTAAGGGTCTTACAAAGGTGGAGGAGTGTTTACTCTTCTGCCTTTACACCAAAACACTGCGGTGCCCGGCAGTTTTTAAATATCTCATTCCTGCCTGTGCAGGGAAATGCCCGCACTGTGCGGAAATGTCTTCGGTCATCTTCCACATGGTGTGGGCATGCCAGTCAACCCCTCGCCTCACCCCAAAACCGAACCCTACCCGGGAGAACTGGGAGGCGGCCATGCTCGGCTGCTCCGACCTGGCGAGCCAGAAGGCCCAGGTGAACCGAGCCCAAGTCGCTTTGGACACCAATAAGCTTCTGTGATGAGGAGCCCACCTAGTGTTTGTGAGGGGTGGCTTGCACCGTGCCACCCCCCACATACTCCCTGCATATAGATATAATAACGTTTTCTCTCTCTCTCCACTCGTACTCTACGAGTACGGAAAATTTTTGTCGCATGTGATTTGTGAAGCATCACACACTAATAGTAGGACTATTCGATTACAACTCAAAGTGTTGAAGGGCCCCTTCAAGAAATTCATGGGCATAAGATACAATCATTTTGTGCAGGACAGAGTGAGTTGGAGATATCTTGCAGAGGGCTTTGTTCTCTAGGGAACATGATAATAGGCACATGATAATGTTCATGCTGGATAAACATGTCAATAAAAGTATACACTTTTCATTTCCTTATATGCGAACATGTCTGGAGTCTTGTTCGTGAAAGCTATTGCTATAGTCCATAAAAAAAAATTAAGTACTACAGTACTGATAAAAAGAAGCAAAGCCCAAAAGTGCCCGTCTGTCGCTTTCCCATACTTTGCCAAGTTGCACAGATGGACCTGCTGATGATAGAAAGCTACCAAATCTAAGGTTAATAAATATTGATAGTCGAATACAGCTTTAAAGTCCACGGCATTTCCTCCACAAAGACATATGTGCACATACACAAACAGCACATACACATAGATTCACACTCCTGACCGATGTCACGAATCGAATGGGCAGTGAACCCCTTCCCCCCTCCTTTGAAGAACATTACAGGGTACAGGAACAGGACTACTTTTTTAGTCACAGAGGCGATCAGCTGCCGCACTTCAGTCATCCAGCTGGGGCCTCTCCGCACTTCTTGCACACAACTATATTTAACAAGACACTGATGGGAGAAGAGCATGCACTACAGTACAGAACAAAAGCCTCCTGGAGTAAAGCTCCATTTTCTGCAGTTTGCATTTTTTGTGTCATCTAACAGGAATTACAATGGAGTATGCATCAATAACAAAGGAACCCCACCATAAGAAGGAACATCAAGTTGTTACAATCAGCAGAAAAAAAAAAGCTCTTTATCTGTCGTCCTTATAAGCGTTTCTTACACTCTTCTAACCTCCCAGACCTTATTCTGATTCCACTCCTGAAACAGGGCCATCTTGATTACCCGAAACACTTGCACAATTATTCAAATTCACCATGTTGTTCTTTACAAGACTGTTTCATTTCCAGCCTCACCCAAAACTCGACATTATCATGCTCTATACACTGTTCTCTATCTCGTTCAAACTTTTTTGTACAGATTTTTTTTCCTGATATGGTTCATTGTCTCATACTATTGTTTTTTCCTTTTCTACACCTGCTGCAGTCGAATTTTCCCACTGTAATTATGTAAAAATAAAATAAATATAGGGTCAACCACGCACACACACGCACACACACACACATATATATAAAGTGAACACCTCACTAGTATTCAAGCCAGTAAAAACCCAAGCATTTCTTCCTACTCCCCCGTTACATGTCTAATCATGCTGTCGAATTATTTTCAAATTACGTACTAAACATCAGCTCATGTCTTGAATGAGGTGTAGACATGGACGACCTTGTGCATGCACAGGGCTGCCATGCATAAGCAAGGTACCCGAGGCTGAGACCCCGCCAACACTTGCGCTCCTTTCTTTTACGGTGAAAGGGGACCGTATGACACAACCAGTGTTAAGGATACTGACTTCAGTGGTTGTGATCTGATCTCTGAGGAAATCCAGGTCATTGTTCAACTCTGTGAGGTTCCTCACAGCAGTCTGCGAATTCTTACAGAGCAGCTCCTCCGCCGCTTCTAGCGAGTACTCCAGCATCACATTTGCCTGCAAGAAAGAAAGGAACACATTCTCGCTAGGTGCCTTTGGTAGCCAAGTAGCAAGACGGGATAAGGAATGTTGCAGGTGCATAGGCACCACCTTTGTGCAAATCACGTCGTAAATATTCGGGTGTCAATACATACAGGCATCGTGTGACACCGGTAAGGGTTAACAAACTGCAGCAGTGGTGCAACCAGTGGAGGGCACACATCCTAATGTGCTTCCCTGTGTCGTAATTCAGGCAGTAGCGCAAAAAATTTCATTGGCAAGGAAAAAAACTCACGGTTATATATATGTATATATATAGTTATGACTAACAATGCAAATGCAAGGATCTGGCCTACAAAAGACGCCCATCGGCGTACCATCCAAACGCGGTACGAGTCCTGCAGGAACACGAGCAGTGCCTGTGTGCGCGTCAGGGAACGCGCATAGGCGCCGCTGGCACATGCTGTTGGTGTTTGACAAGAAGTGCTTGCACGGATCGGGGAATATAAAAGGAGCACTGCGTGTGCGATGGGTGCTATCTCTCTGGCCTTTGTTTCGACTCCATTGTCTGGGATCTAAAGGCTCGTCTGAACGCCAACTTTGACCACACCTGTAAATATGCAAATAAAACGCGTGTTCTCAGCAAGAGTTCCTCCTGCTCCGGCGCCTGGATGACAACCTGTGTCCCCTCCTCAGTCCCATTAACTGGTTGGAAGCAGCGGGATTCTGTGGTGTACTTTCCTGGTACCGACCCTGGCGAGTGCTCACTTTCCGTAGAGATTCTACCAGGCGTTTTGGATAGATGGTGATGTTTATCCAAAGGGGTAGATGGGTCATTGCTTCCCGAATGCTAGTGTTTATTAGAGGTGCCTTCACAGCAGCTTAAGCAACAGAAGTTTGCATTAGATCTAATTTTTTTGTGCAAGGAGCTAGGTATTGACATGGGGATGATACAAGAGAAGGCACATTTGATACAGGCAATCAAGGATTCTGGCACGGATGAGGAGAGGCTTTGCGATTGTTGGGAGCTCGTACCAGGCGTAAGGAAGCCGAAGAACGAGAGCGGCTTGCATTTGAGAGCCCTCCAGGCGTAAAAAGGAAGCTGCAGCTCATGAAAGAAAAATAGAACGATTTAGGGTTGAGCTTCGGATTGTCTTGGCGAAATGTGTTGGTGGTCAGGGTACACTAAATGCAGAGATTTATAATAGACCAGGCACAATAAACATGGAACACACGGCCGAGCAAGCTAGTGAGTGCAGCTTCCGTTGCCAGTCGGAGATGAAAGGTGTCCCAAGCATGGCAGAATGCCAGATGACTCGTTCGTAAAGAAAGTTTTTTATCGGCTTAGGGCAGATGCGGTATCTTCGACTGAGCAAAAAGAGTATGCAGACGCAACCCAAAAGCATACAGCCAGAGGTGCCATGGTCAGTAAATAACGACTTGGATGGGCAGGATAGCCCAATTGAAACACTCAGTTGTGTAGCATACAATGCTAAAACTGGAGGAAAAGACAAAGGGAGTAACAGATTGCCAGTGCAATGCTTCTTCAGTGGCGAGAAGACTGAGGCATTTTCTGCGGCTTCTGCAATTACAGAGAACACTTACTCAAAGACACTAATTAGTCGTTTAGATTTTGAGCCAAAGGAAAGCGCGTGAATGCACGTCAGGGTCGTTCAGACCCTTCCGCCTTCGTGCGTGCAGAAAAAAATCTTTGGTTCGAACCCCTGTGATAACGTGCACCGCATGCTGCCGCGCAGATATCGTCGCATGTATGACGTCACATCTGGCTATAAAATGTATGCGCTCGGTAATAAAGCGATGATTGTTTTGTGGCCACTGGTTGTGGCTATATCACTGGCAACGAGGTAGCTCGAATCCCGTAGGCAGGTGCGGCGAAGGAACTACATGGCGAAAAAGTAGGCACGTTTCGGCGCCTGAAAAAGCCATTTCGTCTTGTACGTGCTTCGGAGTACGACACCGCAGCCTGCAACGTGAAGCAGACAGCAACGCCCCTCGAACAACACCCCACACAAGCACCGAAAGCATTAACGTGGTGACAGTGAGCGGAGCTTCAGGCTGAAGGGCGACCGAAGGCAACCTGAGCCAAGGACGGAGATGGAGAAACAAGACAGCACAGAGGTGACCCAATGTTTTCTACTCGCAGACAGAAATGCTGCGCTTAAGGAAGATCGCTGAGTTGGATCCTAAGTCACAGAATTTCGAGTCTTACCTGGAGCGATTTAAACTGTTTGTGCACACGAAGGACATAGATGAGGAAAAGAAGCTAGCGGTTTTCCTGACTGTAATAGGAGCAGAAGCTTATGAGGTCTTGAAGAACCTTGTAGTGCCGGCTTCCCCATGCGAGAAAACTTACAAGGAAGCAAAGCCGTTGTTGACAGAACATTACAGCCCACAGAGCTCGGTAATCGCTCAGCGCTGCAGGTTTGACAAGCGGACTCAGTACGAAGGGGAAAGCGTAGAAAATTTCATAGTCGAGCTGAAGCACTTGGTCAGGAAATGCAACTACGGCGACTTCTTACAGGATGCACTTCGCGACAGGCTAGTTGCAGGTGTGCGCAATGAAGAGATGCAGCGAGCCTTGTTCGTGGAAGAAAGCCTAACCTTTGACAGCGCCTGCATGATTGCCTTGTACCGAGAAATGGCGGCAAGAGAGGCAGCGCTAATGAAAGAAAAGAACAAAGAGGAGTCATTAAATACGGTTAGGAGTCAACCGAAGAAAGGGATGAAGACGGCTCAAAAGAGCCACGTTGCTAAGAAAGAGCGATGTGAAAGATGCGGCAGAGGGCATTCTTCAAGCGTATGCTGGTATAAAAACTCTAAGTGCCGTAACTGCTCGAAAGTGGGACACTTGAGAAAAATGGGCACAGCTGTGCAGACAAAGAAAACAAATGCCTTAGAATGTTCAGACGAGGACCCTGAGCACGAAGTATACCATTTCATAAATGTGACACGCTCTTCGTACGATGTCAACATTTAGGTAGAAGGCAAACCCCTGAACATGCAGATTGACACAGAAGCGGCTGTTACTGTAGTGCCAGAGTATGTCTATGATTCACATTTCGCTCATGTTACATGTCAGCCCACCAAAGTGACACTTCGCACGTACACCGCGAACAAATGCCACTTAAGGGACAGTGTGAGGTTTCAGTTGTGTACAAAGGGCGGAGCATGACTCTTTCAATAGTAGTAGTTAAGGATAACGGAAGGAGACTGCCAGCATTGCTTGGCCGGAATCGGCTTGAGCGTCTCAAGCTTGACTGGAGCGCAATGAGTCAAGTAACCGCGGAGGACAGAGCCATGTCATTGATGAAGAAATACCCTGCAGTTTTCTCACAGACAATGGGCACCGTAAAGAGTTTTGAGGCAAAAATATCTTTGAATGCAGATGCTACGCCAGTATTCTGTCGAGCCAGGTCAGTTCCATTTGCACTTAAAGAAAAAGTGGAAGAACAGCTCCGTGAGATGGTAAAAACAGTCATGCTACAGCAGGTATCGCATAGCCACTGGGCGACACCACTTGTCGTAATCCAGGAAAAAAGATGGCAGCCTTAGGCTTTGCGGTGACTACGAAGTTACAATTAATAAGGTCCTAACAACAGACCATTACCCACTGCCCAGGCCAGAGGACCTATATTAGTAATTACAAGGGGTAAGGTGTTCTGCGTTCTCGACCTATCGGCGGCGTATCAGCAGGTATCACTGAGCCTCGAGTCACCATCATTTTTGACGGTCAACACCAGTTTGGGGTTGTTCCAATTTCAGCGCCTTCCATATGGTGTGGCTAGTGCACCCGCAATCTTCCAGTCCTTGATGGATCAAGTGCTAAAGGGCATTCCACACGTAGGGTGCTATATCGATGATGTGATCGTGGCTGGATCTGATATGGTTTCATGCCAAAAAAACGCTAAAGCAGGTTCTTGAAAGGCTACGGGAACACAACATCACGTTGAACACCGACAAATGCCAGTTTTTTCAACAATCGATGACGTATTTGGGCCACACAGTTACAGCATAAGGGATTTATCCCACGGAAGCAAAAATCAGGGCGATTGTTGACTTGCCTGAGCCCACTAACGTCACCGAACTAAAAGCGTATTTGGGCATGCTGAATTTTTACTCAAAGTTCTTGAGAAACTGTGTGACCATTGCTGAGCCACTGTATCGGCTGCTAAATGAAGATACGAAATGGTCGTGGACGAAGGAATGTAGCAATGCTTTCGCAGATACGAAAAAGCTGCTCGTTAGCAGCAAAGTCCTCACCTTCTATGATGTTGACGAACCGATAGGAGTGCTAGGCGCGGTAATATTCCATGAAACTAGCGGAGAAGAAAGGCCTATTGCGTTCGCTTCGCGAACCCTCACAGCAGTGGAAAAGAAGTACGCACAGTGTAAACGCAAAGCGTTGGCGCTGATATTTGGTCTTAAGAAGTTTCACCGCTATCTTTATAGTAGAGACTTCACAATTTACACAGACCACCAGCCACTACTTGGCATTTTAGGTGAAGGAAAACCTATACCAACGTTGGCCGCAGCGCGCATGCAACGTTAGGCAATGACTTTTGCAGCATACAGGTACCGCCTTAAGTACCGTAAGGGTAAGAACATGGACGTGGCTGATGCCTTGTCCAGATTGACTCAAGCAGTGCCAGCAGGAGTAGAATCAGCCGAGTTCCTGTCAGTATTTGAGCGTCTTCCACTGACAGCCGATGAAATCGCCAAAGCGTTCAGGCGATGTCTGACTATAAGTAGTATAGCTGATTTCACTCTGAGTGGTTGGCCTGGCGAATGCCCGGAAGACCTAAAGGTGTATCACGTACGCAGAGACGAACTGTCACTGGAACAGAAGTGCTTAACATGGGGAGTTCGGGTTGTTATTCCTAAAGTACTGAGACATCGCGTGCTTGACATTCTGCACACTGAACATCCTGGGGCAAGCCGCGTGAAAATGCTAGCCCGCAGTTTTGTGTGGTGGCAAGGAATTTACCTAGCCATAGAAT